TTTCCCTACCTTACTCTCATCTCCCTTGACTCTGTTTCCCCACAGCAGCAGGAACGGTCTTTCTGAAGCACAAATATGATTACTCCTTGTAGGAACCCGCCAGCGTCTGCTCACTGCCTTTGGGAGCAAGTCCAGGCTCCTCAGTATGTCATTCGCAGTCCTCGGCATCTGAGCCCTGCTGGCCTCTAACTGCATTAGCACCTCTCACTGACCCCAGCTCCCTCAAGTACACTCACAAATGCAAGCAGTACACACACACCTCACACTAGCACACATAGCATAAACATACTCTAATACCCACACACCACACACTCATACATGTCCCACACTAAAACACACATTCACAAACGTACTTACACATGCTATTCTACTGTATCAAAGTATATGATTATCCACATACTATACACTTAGCAACTCACAAGACACTCACATATGCCACACATACTGCACTCACACATTCACACACACACCTTTTTTCATACTTGTACAACACACACTCCCAAGGCACACATATTACACATACTATTCACTTACCCACCTATACCACACACTCCACACATACATCACACTATACACTCATGGGTCATACACACTAACACCATGTTCACATGCTCACACACACCCCCCCACTCTATACCCACACCCACACACTAAACACCATGCACACCGAAGGCTTTAACCACGCAATCTATTTCTCACTCCTGCAACATTTGGCCCAGGCCTTTGCACAGACTATTCTTCCCCCTGGAATGTTCCTTTCCCCCTTCAGGGCTGGCTGTCTGGGCTCATCACCAGAAATCTTTTCCTAACCCTCCAAGCTTGACCCTTCAGAGTTGGGAGAGCAGAAGTGGTCCAAGAATTCTCTCAAGAACCAAACCTAAAAGGAGAAGGCTTGCTTGGTTAGCTTGGGAGTTGGGAATCACAGTCTAATTTCTTAAAGTGTTCAGTTCAGTTCAATCGCTCAGTTGTGTCTGACTCTTTGTGACCCCCCATGGACTGAAGCGTGCCAGGCTTCCTTGTCCATCACCAACTCTGGGAGCTTACTCAAACTCATGTCCATTGAGTTGGTGATTCCATCCAACCATCTCATCCTCTGTCGTCCCCTTTTCCTCCTGCCCTCAATCTTTCCCAGTATCAGGGTCTTTTCAAATAAGTCAGTTCTTCACATCAGGGGGCCAAAGCTTCAGCATCAGTCCTTCCAATGAATATTCAGGACTGATTTTCTTTAGGATTGACTGGTTAGATCTCCTTGCTGTCCAAGGGACTCTCAACAGTCTTCTCCAACACCACAGTTCAAAAGCATCAATTCTTTGGCGTTGTTTTCTTTATAGTCCAACTCACATACATATATGACTACTGGAAAAACCGTAGCTTTGACTAGATCTCTGTTTTTAATATGTTGTCTAGGTTGGTCATAACTTTTCTTCCAAGGACCAAGTGTCTTTTAATTTCATGGCTGCAGTCACCATCTGCAGTGATTTTAGAGCCCAAGAAAATAAAGTCTGTCACTGTTTCCACTGTTTCCCCATCTATTTGCCATGAAGTGATGGGACCAGATGCCATGATCTTAGTTTTCTGATTGTTGAATCTTAAGCCAACTTTTTCATTCTCCTCTTTCACTTTAATCAAGAGCCTCTTTAGTTCTTCTTTGCTTTCTGCCATAAGGATGGTGTCATCTGTATAACTGAGGTTATTGATATCTCTCCAGGCAATCTTGATTCTAGCTTGTGCTTCATCCAGTCCAGTATTTCTCATGATATACTCTAGTTGAGTTGAGTTCAGTTCAGTTCAGTCGCTCAGTCGTGTCCGACTCTTTGCAACCCTGTGAACCGCAGCACACAAGACCTCTCTGTCCATCACCAACTCCTGGAGTCCATCCAAACCCATGTCCATTGAGTCAGCGATGCCATCCAACCATCTCATCCTCTGTCATTCCCCTTCTCCTCCTGCCCTCAATCTTTCCCAGCATCAGGATCTTTTCCAGTGAGTCAGTTCTTCACATCAGGTGGCCAAAGTATTGGAGTTTCAGCTTCAACATCAGTCCTCCCAATGAACACCCAGTGTATAAGTTAAATAAGCAGGGTGACAATACACAGCCTTGACGTATTCCTTTCCCAACTTGGAACCGGTATGTTGTTCCATGTCCAGTTCTAACTGTTGCTTCTTGTCCTGCATACAGATTTCTCAGGAGGCAGGTCAGGTGTTTTGGTATTCCCATCTCTTTAAGAATTTTCCACAGTTTGTTGTGATCCACACAATCAAAGGCTTTGGCATAGTCAATAAAGCAGAAGTAGATGTTTTTTTGGAACTCTCTTGCTTTTTCGATAATCCAGTGCATGTTGGCAATTTGATCTGTGGTTCCTCTGCCTTTTCTAAATCCAGCTTGAACATCTGCAAGTTCATGGTTCATGTTCTGTTGAAGCCTGGCTTGGAGAATTTTGAGAATTACTTTGCTAGCATGTGAGATAAGTGCAATTGTGTGGTAGTTTGAGCATTCTTTGGCATTGCCTGTCTTTGGGATTGGAATGAAAGGCAGGAATTTTCCAGTCCTGTGTCCACTACTGAGTTTTCCAAATTTGCTGGCATATTGAGTGCAGCACTTTCACAGCATCATCTTTTAGGATTTGAAATAGCTCAGCTGGAATTCTATCACCTCCACTAGCTTTGTTCATAGTGATGCTTCCTAAGGCCCACTTGACTTTGCATTCCAGGATATCTGGCTCTAGGTGAGTGATCACACCATCATGATTATCTGGGTCATGAAGATCTTTTTTTGTACGGTTCTTCTGTGTATTCTCGCCACCTCTTCTTAATATCTTCTGCTTCTTTTAGGTCCATACTGTTCCTGTCCTTTATTGTGCCCATCTTTGCAGGAAATATTCCCTTGGTATCTCTAATTTTCTTGAAGAGATCTCTGGTCTTTCCCATTCTATTAAAGTGTAACATTTCTTAAATATTGTATCTCCTCGAGCATATAATTTTTGTTGCCCTGTCTGCTGTCTCAGACTCATGGATGATAGACCCTTTCAGAGGAGAGAGACCTTTGTGCTTGTGACCAGTAAGGGAGGACTGTGAAGCCCAGTTTCAGACCACAGCCAGGCTGGGAGGTGGGAAACCCAGTGGGTAGAAAGCAGGGGGAGGCAGCTTCCAACTGGAACTGGACTGTAGGGGAAGGAGCCCAGACCTGAGGGGGAGTAGCCTCAGGTCAAAAGGTCAAGTTCTTAATCAGGAGCATGCCTAGTTTAGAGTGAGCTGAGTTCCAGGGACTCCTTGGCCTGATTACCACTTCTGCTGCTGCTGCTAAGTCACTTCAGACATGTCCGACTCTGTGCAACCCCATAGATGGCAGCCCACCAGGCTCCCCTGTCTCTGGGATTCTCCAGGCAAGAATACTGGAGTGGGTTTCCATTTCTTTCTCTAATACATGAAAGTGAAAAGTGAAAGTGAAGGCGCTCAGTTGTGTCAGACTCTTTGAGACCCCATGGACTGTAGCCTACTAGGCTTCTCCGTCCATGGAATTTTCCAGGCAAGAGTACTGGAGTGGGTTGCCATTGCCTTCTCCAGATTACCACTTCTAGTGGAGAGAAAAGCCCAGGTGGGCAGGCTGGCTGGAGGGCAGGGCCTGAACCAGACTAGGAGCTGAGATGGGGGAGGATGACCCAGCTGAAGGTGTTCTTGGAACTCAGAAAGAGGAGGGTTATCAGTCCCAAGTGCCATGCAGCGACTTCTCTGGCAGTCCTGTGGTTAAGACTTTGCCTTCCAGTGCAGGGGACATGAGTTCAGTTTCGATCCTTGGTCAGGAAGCTAAGACCCCACATACCTTACAGCCAAAAAACCAAGTGGCATGCAGAGTTTGAGAAGGATGCGGCACCTAGGAAGCCACCTTTCTAGAACAGCGGAGTGTCAAGGTCCGCTGCAGAGCTATAGAGCCTTAAATGGTAGAGACTGAAAGAGCAGAGTCCTCTTTCAGTGAAGGAGGCTGGCCTCACACCTGGTGATGAGCGGAGTGGAGGTGGGGGCAGCAGGATGGCAAGGAGCAGGTCCTTTGATGGAGTGGGGGTCTCCACAGGGGCGCATGGGCACCAAGTGTGGGTGCAGAAGTGCACTGGGAAGGAGGCACACAACCTTCTCCAGGACAGGAAGGACATTGCAGAGAGGGAGAGGATGTGGATATGACAAATGCGAAAGCATTTTGTCACCTCCTTACCAGCATGCTCTGACAGCCTATTGCCATACCCTGGGGAGTTCTCTCTCTGATTGCTTCAATACCAGCCATTCTGTGCCCACCGCTTTCTGTTCTTTTGGTGCATCCCTTTTTGCCATCCCCACAGTCAACTGGCTTCCTGGCCTCTGAACACCCTTCTGGCCCAGTCCCTAAGCTCCATGCCTAGCCCTGAAGGTCATCACTTTAACTGCTTTTCTGCAAACAGCTCTAACTTCTTTGCTGGTTTTTCTGTCTCACCCCGCTCTCAACGTCCTCTCCAGCCCCAGGGGTGTCATGCATTAGTGATTTCAAACCTCAAGCCTCAGTTCTGGTTTCTCTCCTTGGCTTTTAGACTCAGGTGGCTAGTTGCCTTCTGGTCACCTCTGAGTGGAGAGGAACGGGGGAGAGGCCTGGGGTGCTGAGGGAGGGACGGAGGGGAGGGTGGAGGGGTGGAGTGGAAAAGCTGAGGGTGGGTGCTGTGTCGGGTCCAGTGGGGCAGCAGGTTTGGGTTTCAGCTGGAAAATTCAGTCTGTGGAGCTGCTTGCAAGTTCACTTGAGGGGAGGGTTCGGGCAAGGGTTCCTGCTGTCAGGCGAACGGGGCTGGTACCTAGTTTTGTCCTTTTATCTTGACTGTCCTACGTCCTCGCCCCTCCCCTCACCAGGGGGCCTGCTGGCCCCGAGTTTGTTGCTGTCTACATCCTTCCACCCAGACCTGAACACACAGACTCCCTCCCTTTTGGTTGTGGTCTCACCCTTCCCTCCCTGCTTTTCTTGAACTCAGGCCTCTTGCAATTACCCTGGTGTGGAGAAGCACTGGCCGCCGCCTCACCAAGCCCGCTGCTGAACCCGCTGATGCCCAGGCCGCCCGCCTGTGTCTTGATTGCTGACTTGAGCTCGTAGTTCTCCCGAATGAGCCGCACCAGCTTCTTCAGTTCCTCATTTTCCCGCACCAGCCTCTCGATCTGATGCCGAAGCCCCTCATAATTGGTGAGTAGAGACATGCCCCAGGGCAGAGGGAAGGGTGCGGCCCTCAGGAGGATGCTGCACCTGGAGGCTGCCCAGGGCCTCGGGCCTTGCCCGGGCTGGAGGAGGGCACCAGAGTTTGCAAGTCGCAAGGCTGGCCCAGTGGGCCTGGGTATTATGAGGTCAGAGGCTGCACCTCCTCCGTGCTCTCTCTGCTTTAACAGGCTCAGCTCTCCGTGCCTCCGGGACTATGCACCGGCCCCTTGCAGCCTGGAATGGTCCACCCCTTCCCTGTCCAGCCAGCTTTCCTCTCAAGGTGCCTCCTCTGTGGAGCTTCCCCATCGCTGCCCTCTAGGCTGCCCCTACGGATGTGTCCTGTCACAGCACTTGCCTGGGCCTATGCAGTTAGCTCTTTAGCCCGTTTCATTCACTTCACGTCGAGGGCAAGGACTGTGTGACTCACCAGCAGCCAGCAAAGGGCTGGGTGCCGTGAAGGTAGATGACCAGTGAACACCTGTTGAGTGAAAACTCGCCACCTTCCTTCCTGGAGAGGGTGCCCTTTCCTCGGGATCTTGGATTTCGTTGTCAGCCTCCTCCTGGAGACAGTCTTTCTTGGACACCTGGACACCAGGCTATGCTTTCTTCTGGCCCCGGGTGCTCAGAGCCTTTCTCTGGTGGCTGGCCCAGGGGCTCCCTCGTCCAGGTACTCAGCTTCCTACAGCTTGGAGTTTCCGTTTCTGTTGGCTCAGCTCCCCTATTCCAAATTCCCCTGTGGTGCCCCTCCTGTGCCCGCTAGTCTCCGGATTCTTGAATTTTCCTATTGTCCTTCAAGAACCCGAGACTGCATTCCTCATCAGTTTCTAAGAACGCAGATTTCTGAGTCCTTATAGCACTTCCCTGTTTTAGAGCCGTCTACTGAGAAATTTGCAGGTCTGACCTTGGCAGCTGAGTGAGGCCATGTCCTCGTGACCTCCACTGGTTCTGTGAGTGTCTGCTCTTGAACAGGAGGAGGTGGTGACATCTTGGTATAAGTCAGAGTGCTCACGCTTGACAAGAGAGTGGGGGTGAGGACGCAGTCGAAGATCAGCCAGGGCTGGGGTCAGCCTGAGCTGAGCATTCTACCTGGACCTCACAATGGGAGGGCTACCCCCACCCTCCTCTGACACCCCAGACTGTAATCCAGGCTGAATCACTCTGGCCCTGGGGACCAGGGCTGAGCTTTCTTCAGAGGAGATCTCTCCATGCGCTCTGCTTTTTATAGAACATCTCTGCTGGGATCTCCTCCAGCGTGTGAAAATAAGCTTATCATGGTCCAAGCCTCTTCCACCTCCAGTATTATCTCACTGTTGGCCTCTCCTTGGGTTGATGCTTTCTTTGCCGTCTGTGATGCTTACATTTTCTGGGTCAGCTTGGCTGGGCTATGGTGCTGCCTAGGAATTTGGTCAAACACTAGCCTAGTCATTGCTATGAAAGTTGACTTTAAAGTAAAGTAGATTATCCTCAATCATGTGCGTGGGCTTTATATTGGGTTAACCAGCCAAAATCAATCATTCAAAAGCCTTAAGAAGAAAAAACTGAGGTTTTTCCAGGGAAGAATTAGTTGTGCCTCAGCACTGTTTTAGAAATTGTCTGAGTTTCCCGTCTGCTGGTCTGCTCTGCAGACTTTGGACTTGCTATTTCCAATTGTGTGAGCCAGTTCCTTAAAATAAATCTCTTAATATGTAAGAACTCTGATATACCATCTGTATTTCCCTTTGTACCAGTACTGCTTTCTTTATATATATATATATATATATATATATATATATATATATAGCGTCAACTGTATGGAGGGCATTGTGCTAGAAATTGGGGGTTCAATGTCATAATCAGGCATTGTTCCCACCTTACTGGCCATATTGAGTACAGAGGAGAGCAGCTGTGAATTGAACAATCACACACAAATGTCAAATTACTGCTGTGATGAATGTGTGGTGCCCAGAGAAGGTGGGTGGGTTAGACCCAGTCAGCTAAGGGCAGCCTTCCCAGAGGAAGTGATGATTGAAATGATATGAGGGAAGTCTCTGGTGGGAGAACTTTCTAGCAGGCATGACAGCCCATGCAGAGGCCCTGGGTCAGTGCGCTCCACGGAAGGAAACGAAAGAGGCTGGCTGAAGTGATGGGCCGGAGGAGGGGAGTTGCTGAGTGTGCGGAGGAGGACAGAGGGCCCAGAATGTGACTGGGTCTGGTGGCCGTGGGACTGTTGATCTTCATCCTAAGGGCCTTGTGAAAGCTTGAAGGGCTTTAAGAAGGGAGTGTGGGAATGGACTGGAGAGAAAGCCACTGAGTGGAACACAGTAAGGAGGCCGCCATTTACCCAAGCAAGTAACGCAGGTGGCTTGAACACGGGTGGTGCCAAGGAGCGAAGTGGATGGGGTTGAGAAAATTTTGGTGGGTACTGGGTGGACTGGTACCCAGCATGGGTGTGAACAGGGGCAGCATCACAGTTGCTGGTATGTGTGCTAGAGCCTCTGGTGACACCAACCCAGAGGGAACAAGACCAGGTTTAGAGCAAAGACCCCGAATCAGGTTTGGAAGTGGTGCTGAGAGTGGGTGCCCTTGAAACCTCCAAGGAGTTCATTCAAGGAGGCAATGCTTCCTGCTCCAGTCCCAGGGGAGAGCCCGCCGTGTATGCTAGAAAGATATCATTTGGGGTTCATCAGCTTTTAGACAGCAAATGAAGCCACGGGAGTGGGTGAGGTCACCCAGGAATCAGTAAGTCAGAAAGGCAGGCTTTAGGCCTCCTGTGCCTCAAAGAGCGACACAAGCCTGAAGACAGCACAGGGCAGAAGTGCCGCAGGGACTTGCATTCCCCTCAGGCTCAGCAGGAATTCTCTGCAGACAAAGCTTCAGTGTTTTCCCACTCACTTATGCTGAGTCAGACACCCCCTGGTTGGGCCATTGGCTTTTGAACAGTTTGTCCCGGTTCAGATTTACCTCATTAGATTCTGCTCAGCATGCCAGCTTGGCGAGGCCCTCGGGGATCTTTGCTCCCGTCTTGGCTGAGGATGCTTTGTAGGTTTAACAAGCTTCCTTTGAAAGCCATCTTCTCAAGAAGATGGTTGAAGAACAGGGACCTTTATTTAACCTGGAGCCCTCTGTCTGCACCCCCTTTCACTTCCCATACCCCTTGTGGGGAGGGATCAGTCCGCATGTGGCCAGTGCACATCGAGCAATACTGGCCACGTGATCATTTTAGCCCTGTTTAACCGCAGGGTCTGCGAGCTTGCAGTCACATCCTGGTGCTGATGCGAAGCTCCTGGGAGGGATCTGCCCACTCTGTGCCCCACAGGGTCAGCTGGCTCCTAACTACCAGCACCCTCCAGTACTGCTGACAGTCCTAACACCCCCACCCCAGGCAGATGGTACAGACACCTTCTCCTCTGGGCGAGGCACCAAGGCACCACCCTCCAAGCACCTGGGCTTCCCAGGTCCCCATGACCAGCCCATGCTTCCTGCCTTTTCCCAGTTGTCAAGGTTGGGGTTTGGGGCAGGCTGCCGAGTCTCTGGCCTGCTCTTCCTGCCTCCAGCCTCAGCCTCTCTGCACAGCTGCCAAGAGATCTTTCTGGCCCCCTGTTGGATGCAGGCTCCACTTGGGGAAGACTCGGGTGCTGTTGTGGGAGGATGAGGGTCACAGCACATACTGCTCTGCACCCCTGAGCCCGAGACATGCCCTAGAACAAAATAGGTGCTCAAGAAACACACAAACTTTTTTCCTCTTTTCTCAAAGAATTCCCACCACAGAGCTAGAGAAGGCACGTTGGCTCATGGTAGAAACAGGCCAGGTGCTAGCTGAGTGTCTGAGGACGAGCCTCTGGGTTTCTGAGGGAACGGCTGCCCCTCCCTGCGTCTAGAGGCCTGGGGAGGCAGGGGCCTGGGAGGAGCAGGGGACTCTGCGCACCAGCCTGGGGTCCTGCCGGCCAGAGTCAGGGAGAGAGCCTCAGAAGAAAGCCTCTCCAGGTGCTGGTTAGAGGCAGAGTGTTCTGGGAATGAGACCTTGGTCACCAACGGGGCCATCCTGTCACCCCTCATAAAGCGTGGGAGTTAGAGGCCAGGACGGGGCAGGAGGGCTCTGTCGGGCCCTGGAGCCCGGCAGCATCTCCTGCAGGACCCTCTCAGCCTTTCACGAAGCATCGTCTAAGGGCGGCCAGAAGGCGGAGGGCGGGGCGGCGCTGCAGAGAGGAGGGGCTGGGGCCTGGGCTGCTGGGGGTGTGTGGCTGGGGTTCAGGCCCTTGGACTCCAAAAGCCTCAGCCCAGACCTGTGTCACTCCTCGCCCTGACCCTCCGCTGATGTCTGCTCCTGCTGCAGGCCCCAGCGTGGGAGCCCGCCTCAGGTCCTCGCATCAGCAGCGTCAGAGTGCTTGCGCGTCGGGCCTCGGCTTGGCCGCGTGACCCCAGCAGCCCCCATCTGCGTGCCTCTATCCCTTCGTCTGTCATGGTGGGCGATGTGCTACCTACTCCCCCTGCTGTGTGAGGCCCAAATGAGGTGACGTGTGTAATACAGCAAGGGCTGCGTCTGGCGCAGGGGAAGAGCTAAATGCATTTTCTCACCAGCCCGGAGATCTTGACAGCCTGCCAGGTGCCAGGCATATTGTGGGGACAGCAGGGAGCAAACAAGGAACCTCTGCTCTCTCTGGCTCCATTTCCATGGCCAGCAGCTGCCCAGGGCAGGGCATGCCTGAAGCTGGAGGGGGAGCGGGAACCCCAAGCTCCCTGGCCCTGTTCCTTGACTGGAGGGCACTCTCAGAGCCTGGGAGGGGAGACAGAGGGTGGGGGACCCTAGCCAACGACTGCCTGTCAGTACTGGTGAGGGGTGACTGTGGACATGTGGCCTTCCAAAGCCTCAGTCCCCGTCAGCTGGCTCGTGACACTGTCTCGCAAGGCTTCTGTCAGGACCGTGCATTCGGTTATCTGCCCCACTGCCGGCATTGCTGCCATCTCTCACTACTGCCCAGAACCCAGCAGACGCCTGCTGCCTGCTGGCGGGTGCGTGGGCCAG